ACAGCCACACCTGCCCGACACGCACCCCGGGGTCTGTGCTGTTGTCCACCGAGCTGTCCCTGTAGGCCTGTTTTTTCCAACAGAGATTCCCAGCCCTGGATATGTTTTATTTCTCATGTATCAAAATAAAATCTCCAAAAGGCAGTGATGCCAAGGATAAGGCAAGAACAGCTCAGAGGAGGAAAGGGTGGGGCAGTGTTTCTGAGACAATGGACGCAAGGCGGCTGAAGCACAGACCCACTCGCAGGGCGAGGCCACACCTCAGAGAGCGAAACCGCGAGGTAGCGGCCGCTGAGTGTGGCAGATCACGACGGAGAGCGCCTGGCGGAACACTCCCGAAGTGGGAGGGAGGGGATTCACCACAGCTGAGGCGGCTCACGTGCTCCAAAGGACGTGAGCCCTGAGCTGCCAGGGGACTAGGATCTGAGGACTGTGCCCTGGCTGCTGGGCGACGTCGCTCTAGGCGACGCGGGCGCAGGCTGGCCCCTCTGCAGACGCACCCACGCCGCGCCCACCCCGTCCTGACAGGACAGCCCTGTACCAGGCTCTCTTTCAAACGCATTTTAACTCATTTCCTGTCTTGGGATTTTGCAGGAAAGTTCTACCCATTTTACGCATGACGGAGCAGGGCCTCTCCCCCACGGGCAGGAGACTCAAACCCGGTCAGTCGGGCTCCAGAGCCCCCGCCGGGGAGACCGGCCGGGGCGGCACCGCAGGGCCTAGGCTGCGTGGTGAGCATTTGTGCTGTTGCTGCGCCGAGGCTTGGGAGCAGGGGCGCCGTCCGGGCAGCGTGCGGGGCTGAGGAGCATCTCCGCCCCAGGCAGAAGGATGTTTTGAAACACTAGGCAGGAGGCAGCAAAGGAGAGGGACAGAGCCACGGTGAAGGTGGTGCCTTTGCCTCAAGGGCGATGACGTTTGCCAGCAGAGGCTTGATGCTGGCTGTCGTGAAAGCATCAACGACTTCGAGGAGCTGAGGTTGGCAGTCACGCGAGTTTTCTACCTGTTGAGCTGCGTTTCCGGCCCCGTCAGGTGCCCGCACGCGGCAGGCGTGGGTGCCCGGGCCGAGGGCCGTGTGCTCGGGGCTCGCGAGCCTGTGACTGTGGACACCTGGGCCCGGGGAGCATGTGTGTGTGTGCGCGTGTGTGAGAGCTCACACTGCAGAGAGGCGGGGGAAGGGCGCCATCACCCCGAGATGGGACCACGCCACGGAGGACGGCTCTGAGGCGAGCCCCCCAGACTGCCAGGCCAGAGAGAGCCAGAGAGAGGGGCCAGCGATTCCTCGGGGGCTGGGGGACTGTAGGGTAAAGAAAATATCAGGCTTTTCTGCCCTCCCGCCATCAGGATAGATGATGGATCCTTGCAATCCTGAATGCATGCCTGATGGCGGCACCTGGAATAGGGTGCGGGCAGAGGTGGATGGGGTTCACCTGGGCTGAGACTGGGCTTTTAAGGGCGGCGTCACGGGGACGCCAGCAGCAGCAGCAGAAGCCGAAGCCAAAGCCGAAAGAGAAGAGGCCCGAAGCAGAAGCAGAGAAGGCCACAGAGCCCAGATAGAGTGAAGATTTGCTGGGGGCTGGGAGGACTGCCAGCCTCCCAGCCCCCCAGCACCTCTGCCTGCCACGTACCCGCTGAACCCCAATAAAAAACCTGCAAAACCACTGAGGACTCTGACTCCTCCTTTACCCGGTCTGCATGGGATCAGAAAACCTGCACTGTGGCCTGTTCCTGCCTCTACAGGGACCCCGTGGCCTGCCTGCCTCCCAGGCCCCTGCCTGCCGCCTCCTTGCCTGTGCGCCTGGCACTGGGCCCCTGAGAAACCCACTGAGGGCTCCCGGACTCTGCCCGAATCCACAGCGGGCGCCCGGCCTGCGGCACCCGCGTGCACGGGCTGCCCCTTTCTCCTGGGCAGAGCTGGGAGCAGCTTTGCTGAGTCACAAAGCAGGTATGTAAGTTCATTTTTAATTTATCAGGTTTTCAAAGTGGTGTTATTTTATGCTTCTCCTCGCAATGTTTGAGGGTTCTGGTTGCTCCAAATTCTGTGCTATTTTGGTTAAGTGTCAGAATCAAAGTCATGAAGCCGACCATGATTTAGGAAGCCTTGGGGGTTTTTTCCTATGCTGCAAAATGTTTCAAGTAACAAAGGAATCATCTGTTCCTTCCGAGGCAAATTCCGCATGGCCTCCCTCAGGCGTGCTCAGGCTTATCCGGCTCACCTGGGCGAGGGGGCGTGTCTCCTTCAGAGCCCCGCGTCCATCTCTCCAGAAAACAACTGTCTTTTCTTGATGGCAACTGTGGAAGGGCCTGTCCTCCTCAACAGACTCTCCCACAAGCTCCTCACATGGATGGGGTGGGGCGAGACTCAGAGGTCAAAGACGTTATAAGCAAAGTAATTATGTCAAGAATGAAAGTGTCAGGAAGTAAAACTAGCAGGTTAGCCAATACCTTTAAGCTGCCGTGTGTGAGAAGAAACGCAGGCGAGCAGGAGAATGGGGGTGTCTCGGTGCCAGGGGGCAAGCGTCTCAAGAGGGAGAAGGACTCGCTCCCCCCGCCTCCCACTGACGTGTGCACTCAGCAAGGGCAGGGGTTCGCCCACGCTGGCTTCTGCTGAGTGCCCAGGAACTAGAACAGAAAACTGCTTAGACGACACTCCTCTTTATTAGTAGTTTTAACTGAAAATAAAGTCTCCGTCACCGCTGGACAAATAGTTCATTAGAGCCTCAGAGTGAGGATTTGAGCCTGGGAAGCCACAGATTCAGTCCGTGAGAGCCGTTCTGACAAATTCAGTTTGAATTCAGCTTACACAGGTAGACACAGTGAGTCACTGACATGAAAAATGCCATCGTTCCTCTTGCTCTGAGCTGTCCTGATTTCAAGGCATGCCGATGGTAGAGGAAGAGATGCAGGATCTGGTCTCTCCCATCCCACTGGGTGCCCTGCCGAGGCGCAGATGCTGGCGCCCACGGCTAAATCTTTCTCCTTTTTTCCTGAAGAAAACTGTGCCTTTCATCCTGTGCACATGACGGCACCTCTTAATGTGGCTTTGCCTGTCAGACCAGGGATGGGGTCCCCGGAAAAAATCCTCCAGGCCACCACGTCTGATGAAATTCTACTTATTCCAGAATCCATGCCATAGTACCCCCTAGGGTTAATTAGCCTGCACTGGGGAGGCCTGGCTAAGACTCAGAGAAAAATGCCCTTCTTGCACGCCGAATGCTCGTAATTCTGTCCTCACACACCCTGGGTGAGATAGGTGGAAAGTTTGAAACTAACGTTCAGACTTTGCAGGTTATACTCAAAATAACAGATAATGGGTGGCAGAACTAGAGCTGAGCTCAGAATGACTTGAGGCTAGAACTTGTATTCTTCTCACCCACGCCAGGGGCTTTGCAGTGCCAGCCATCATTCTTGTAACGAGGAAAACATTACTCTTTTGTATTCCAATTATCTTTATCTCTCGGTACACTGTGAGTTCCTTGAGGGCAAAAACTGTCTTGTTCGTCTTTTGCCCAGATGATTATCAGAGAGAAAGGACTGAATATGCCTTGGCTGAAAGTGATTGGTAGCGGTTGTTGCCAGAACAGCTCTGAATTTCATCTTAGATGTGTTAAAGCCAGACTCAACCGATTTCTCCCCGAGCAGCCTTGTCTCCTCCAAGCCCAGGCAAACTGTGTAAGCAGCAGCTAGGCCAGCTGCCTGGCTTTCAGAGAAGGGACAGGCAGCCTGAAAAAATGGATGGGCTTTCTCAGGACAAAGGTCACCAGAAAGGCAGAAAAGGGTGGACTTGTTCTTGGATAGCAAATCTCCCCTGCTTTCTGGCCAGAAGCCACAACCTGGAGAATAAGAGCCAAGCAGGGTTGTCCGCAGAGGAGTCGCTGAGTGACCGCTGACAGCAGTGAACAAGGCCTGAGTGTTGACATGCCGGCGGCAAGGAACTAGCAGCGTCTCCAGTGCTGTAAAACGAGGCAGATAGAGGACTGTGAGGTGTGGAGAGGCTGCAGGCGGGGAAAGAACAGGAGAGAACTGAGTGAGGTTCAGAGGAACCAAACAAGGGGTTAATTGATAGGGAATGAGGTCCGAAGCTGGGGTGCAGTGTTCTGCCCGCCAGCAAAAGTGAAGGAGCTTGGAAATTCTGAGGCGGGACTCACAGGTTCTGAGCAGGGCAGTGAGGGGCTGACTTGCATCTCTAGAAGTAAAAACGCTGCTCTGGAGGCCAGTCTTGCCGGCAGAGACGGGCCCACAGAGCCCACGGGCCGCAGGAGGGAGGGGTGCAGGCCGGCCATCGGTCAGGGTGACGAGAGGCCGCATTCTGAAGGCGTTTGGCAGCTCCGGCCAGCAGACCTGCTGGTGATGGCGCTGTGAGGACAGATGGCGGCGAGGCCGACTAGCCCGAGCATCTGGGCGAGCAGATGCACTGTCTGGGGAGGAGAGCAGAGCTGGGGAGGAGTGTGAGTTGGAGAAACCAGGAGTTGCATGTGAAATACTTGTGGGTGAAATGCTGCGATCTGAGGTTACTTCAAAGTGACGGACGCCCGAGCGCCTGCAGCCGCGGGACCTGGGACGCGGGCTCCCTGTGCCGTCCCGCCGGCAGCAGCGGTTTTGAAAAGAATGGGGGGCTCTGACACACAGGGCCCGAGCGGGCCCGCGGCGTCACGGCGGATGTTCCCAGGACACGCAGACTGGAGTTGGGGGAGGAAGGCAGGGCCGACGGGCGGGGCGCTGCCGCACCCGGGGCGCCCCGAGACAGGGCGGGGACCCCCGTGGGAAGGGAACCGTGGGGAAGAGGCCAGGGTCCGGCAGCGGATTCGCCAACATTCAGAGATGAGGGCCGCGGGAGCTATTTTTGCCAGGGTTGGGGGCATGAGGTGGGGCCCGCATCTCAAAGCCCAGCTCCGGAGCTCGTTGTCCAGCAACTGCAGGTCACGCGGTTCCAGGCCAGCGGCTGGAAAGACCAGCGCCCGTGAGAAGAGCGGGTGAGATGAAGCCCCACAGCTGGTTTGGCACTTCACCCCGTGAAGGCGGGCTCTGCACCTGCGTGGTGCCAGCATCCAAGGCCTAAAACTACATCCTAGCACCTCTGGTGATAAAGTTATATACTTTTTCTCCCAGGGTATTGACCTTTATTTTGTAATTTTCCTCAGTAAACATGATAAAAATGTACAATTTCAAAGTTTTTAATAAAGGTCATCCAGCAATAGGAAATACAAAAGCCCTTAAATAGGCACCCGATTTAAATCAGGCTAAAGTTATACGGTGACCATCTGCTTCCGACTGAAATAACTATTATGGATTGCTTTAAAAATGAACAAATTATAAGATACTACTTTAATGCTACATTAAATATTTTATTTAAGTTAAGAAATATAGCAAAATTATATACATTTGTGCCACTGTTTGAATAAAATTTCTAATTACTTACAAATCATTTACACACAATTTCTGAGGTACCAAGTTCCAAATAGCTCCATAGGGCCATGAAGACTTTTTTAAAAACGTTATCGGCTGCACCCCAATATTAGGTGCAGACACCCAAATACATACTAGATACACTGACTTTAAATAACCTACAAATACGAGCCAGAGCAGTGACTCCCCAGAATGAAAGTCGTCAGGACAAAAGCGCCGCCCCGGCAGCCACTCGGTGGGTCCCAGCGGGAAGATCACTTTGTGAAGTGCAAGTTTATACTGAAGCACATTTTCACATAAAAATACTTTAAAGCATGTTCTATTTTAGAAAAAAAAAAAAAGATCAAGCTGATCTGTTTTCAGACCATTTAATCTCATTCAATTTCTCCTAATTTGATTAATGACATTATCAACAAGGTTTTATTCCTGAGCTTGATCCTAACCTTAAAAAATAATTTTGTTTATAACATTTCCACATTTAGAGACAGGATTTAGCCTTTGTGTTAAAAAAGCATCTTTTTCCAAGTCCAACCGTAGCAATTTTGCTTTTGTTTTTGGCAGAGCTTTCATTAGACGCAAACACTTAACATTTTTAATGACTAAAACCTTCTAACTGTATTTTATTAACGTGAGTCAAAATTCTAGATTTCTAACGGGATATTATATAATCACCTCTCCTTTAAACTGTTTATTTCATCTTGGTTATTAAAAAAAAAAACAAACCACCAAATAATCAGTGTTAAAAGAATTTCTCCTTTTTGGGTTTTGAGCTATCAGTAGCTTTTTTGATTTCAAAGGTTAAAATGAGTGTTTTCCCGTACCTAATAAAATCGCTGCGCAGAGTGTGAGGGAGAAAGTGACGTGCAGCTGAATGCTCCCCTCCCCTGCTGCAATCAGGCCACCGGGTCGGAGCCCTTCTACCTACAGAAGCCACTTCAAACCAGGTACTGATTCTCCTCCTGTAGCTCACACTTGTCTATGGAATCAGTCACCCAACTGTCTTGTAGGATTTTAAACTTCCTCTTCACAGTTCTCCGAAAAGCTTTAAAATCTGCAACCCGACTGCGATCCTCCCCGACGATGACATGAGACACCCCCTCAGCCAAACAGGACACCACTCTGGCCCCGTGGAACCGCAGCTCCAAGGCTGTAGCGGCGAGCCTGGCGCCCTGGATTTCAGTGCTGGGGTCGCCGACCACGGCGAACAAGTCCACGTACACCGAGTGGTGCCGGAACAGGGCGAGGGGCGGCCGGTCCCAGAAGTAGCGGTGCTCCAAGTCCGCGATCACCGAGGCCATGTCCGCGGGAGCCTGGCCGCCGGGGCTCCGGATCCTGGAGAACACCTCCTGCAGCTGGTCGCAGTCGGTGTCCGCGAAGTAGCTGTCCCCGTAGCGGTCGTACTCGCGCGCGAAGCGCTGCCTCGTGGCCGGGCACATGTGGACCATGTCCCGAGGCTGCCAGGGCACGCAGCTTTTGGTCTTAAAACACTCCAAGAGCCACTCGGGCCTGACGACGTCGTGCCTGCCCGCGGCGACGATGTTCTTCACCCTGATGCTCTGGGAGCCGGCCACCACGCAGAAGGTGTCGGGGCCCGGGTTCTGCACCACGCAGCCGCCGAGCTCCGCGACCCTGCTCTCCAGGTCGGGCTTCGGGTGGCAGCTGGTCCCGCTCATCACGCAGAACTCCACATCTGCAAACACGCTTGCCACTCTGCTCACGTTGGAGAGGTCTGGGGCTTTCAGGTGCTCGATGATGCCCACGGCGCGCCTGGCCTTGGGGGCGGCTTTTCGTTTCTTCTCCTGGGGCCCGTCCTCGCCCCCCGCGGACAGGTGCTTGGAGGCGAGCTTCCCGCAGGCGCGCCCGCGGAGCTGCTCCAGGTCGCCCAGGGTCATGCACCCCTGCCAGGCCTTGTCGTCGCGGATCCGCTCGATGCGCGGGAAGCGCAGCGTGCAGCCAGTCCTGTACATGTCGCTAGGCACGATCTCGGCCGCCTTGACCTGGACGATGACAGAGTGACAGGGCTCTATGTACACCTCGGGCTTCTCCGTCCCACAGAGAATGCTACTTGGTGGTGCTTTCTTGTGAAAGGGCTTCCAGTGTTGGGCCAGTTTCAGACCCAGATCATACAGCTCCTTCATGGTGTAACCCGAGCCCACGCGACACAGCGTGTGAAACACGGACGGCTCTTCCCCCGGACGGGGCGTCTCAGCGACAGCACACAAGAAATGGGACATCATCCCGCCCCGCGACCCCTTGCCCCAGTAGCCCCCCACGATCAAGATGTCCAGCTCATCCATCAGCCCGGTTACGTACTCAGGCTTAATCTTCAACCACCCTTCACCTCGTTTGTCTGGCTTATAAATGGAGAGGGGCTGCTTCACCATGATGCCCTCTTCCCTCTTGTCAATAGCTTCGTTCAAGGCATCGATGACTTCTTGTCTAGTGTGAGCTTGCGTTTTCTGCACTATTTCTAGTCTACCTGGGATGGGCGTCAAAATGCTATTCAGAATGGCGTACCTCTTCCTCAGGGTCTCATGCCCGAGCTTCTTATTATTAACCATCAATACATCGAAAACACAGAAACAAGTCTGCAGCTCAGAATCTTCCACCATTCTTTTAATATCAAACTTATTCCCCTTCTGCATAAACGTCTGCGTGCTGGGGTTGTAGGCCATCATCTCTCCGTCCAGGATACAGATGTGGACATCTGCTTTGAAGGCCCCGTGGATGAATGGTGTGAGGGTCCCCTCCTGTGGGGTTTCTCCAAACTGAGGCGTATAGTTATACCCATTTCGGGAGAAGTACTTGTACACGCCCCCATCCCTGTGCATTTGCATCCTCTCGCCGTCCAGCTTGGTTTCGATGTAGAAACTCTGGTGTTTCATGTCCTTCTCGATGCGGTCAATGTCTGCTATGGCGGCGAGCATTGGTTTAAAGGCAGCAAATAAGGTGATAGAGATGTCGCTGAGTCCCACCGAAGGGTCATGCAGCTGCCGGCAGACTTTCTCCAGATCCGTGGTGACATTGTGCAACTCGACAGCATCGCTATGGAAAACAGAAAACACAGTCTGCTGGCTAAAACCCAACTTTAGGTCCTTTAAGATCATCCGGATGAGCCACTTCTGTTCGAGGGCTGAACTCTGAGTTATAAGCTGCAGGAGACTCTTTTTGATTAGGTCCTTTCTTTTGGCAGCATTATTGCTGGCAACTGAGTCGAGAATGTCGTTGACTTGCTGTATGGTCAGACTTCCTTTCTGCAAGCACCGTGGCTTCAGCACAAAGTAGGCGATCGTGGCAAAGTCTCCAGCATCCCCCCGCGTCCCCATAGGGGCCCTGTAATTTAGAAGTTTCAGGGCATCCTTCCCTTCCTTAGGCAGGTTGAGCAGCTCGATGTAAAGCTTGGCAAGCATCGTTTCTTTTATTCCATAGGCCATTCGCTCTCTTTCTAGCTGAGGAAGAATAAGTCTCATTGCGGGATAAAATGAGTCTGTGACATCTTTTTGGTTCTTATGAAGGGCATCGTGAAACTGTCTCCAAGAATCCAAAAACTCGCTGAAGTGTCTGATTTTCTCTGCCCGTACTTTGCTCCTCTGTATTCGTTCTAAAGTTGAACACAAATCCGTGAAAGGAACATGAGAGGCGACTGTTGGCGGAGTTTGTGCGGTGGCTGCAGCCATGGCAGTGAGCGCGGCTCCTCTGGTTTAACTAGTAAAACAAAAAGAAAATGACTCAAAGCCCAGGAGGACGTCGGCTTGATACTTAGTGCAGAGACCTTAGAGTGAGAAGGGATGCCTGCCAATGGCGTTAGATGAAAATAAATCAATGCCGTAAGTTGTGTTTTTTTCAACCTCTACTTTTAATGATAAGCACCTATTGTGCTTCAAACCCATTTAGTCTTTACCATGGAAAGCATCACCCGCCCCGCTTCCTATAGTTCCAATATTGAAAATCAGCATTTAAATGATCTTTCTCCCTAATTCCATTGACTTATTCCATTCCTTATTTATCTAGCACATGGTGCAAAAGAATAATATCAATAAAGATGGAAGAGAAGCAAAGAAAGCTGAATCCCTTTCATCTTGGGGGCTTCTGAGCAACGGCCTTGCCTGCCATTTCTCTTTCTGCATCAGGCTGCCACGCGGCACCAGAAACAAACTTCTTTAAAACCATGTTTTGAAGAAGTCACTAGCTTGGTGGCTGGAGCCCACGCTGGGACTCCACATGCGGCGCTGCACATCCCCGTCTTGCAGGCAAACCAAGCCCATGGGCAAGCTCACTTTCACTCCTCTGCTGGCTGCATCGAAGCAACCCACACTCCAAACCCGCTGCACACCCTCCCCGGGATATCCTCTCTTGACCCATCTCTTTCAACTTGCTTTATCACTTTGCTTAGTTTGTGTATTTAAATTAATTAGCACACCCTTTAGTTCAAATTCCCAAGCCAGTTATTCTGCCAACCTCCCTGCCCACTAGGGAGCTGGGTGCTGCACTAGGGCAAAGATGGTGTTTTGACCTTGAGAGCATAATCGCTGTAAGGCAAAAGGGATACACTGGGAACTGAGCAAGTGTGCATGCTTTAACATAAACAAACACAAAAGTAAAATGTCATGAGACAGCTTTTTACTGAAGTGTGTTCTAAAGGGAGACAGAGCTTGTGGGGCTGGAGTCGAGAATATTTCCTGAAATTGGTCACCACAAATGTGAAATTTGTAGGATGTTTAAATATTCACGTCAGTTCTATCAGAATCTGTAAGGTATCAGAGCTACCTTAACAGGGTTTAAACAATGTAACACTAAAATTCACTTTTCCCAAAAAAGTAGGGGAAGCCATGGTTAATTACCATGCCTAGCTACTGGGGCCATCTCCTGCAGTCAGAAACCATGTTGTGCCAGGAGGGCACATTGTAGCTTTGTTTGTTGAATGAATTCCTCAACACCTAGATTTGAGTTCCTGGGAAAGTGCACTGGGGACAGCCAGAGCTGGTCACCCGCAGACACCCCCCACCCCATGAGGCCAGTGGGATGCAGTTTTTTAAAAACACGCAGTAGGTAGGACTGCTCTGAAAAAGACTCAAAACAACCACTTGCAGGTCTTGAGGGAAAAGGCTGCTGCACTTCTCAGCCTAATGCCTGGCAGCAGAAGCTCAACCTCTCCTGAGCCGTTAGACCCAGAGACAAACCCACAAGACCACCTTCCGGGGTACAGCTCCAGCGCCCCACTTCCCCTGGCTGGCTGCGTGTGGTCTGCACAACGGGCTACGCCACCTGCTTATGTTATTTGCCCCAAAACATGCTCCCGAGGGGCGTACACTTGGGTCTGCGTCACACCGACTACATGTGAGTGTGTGAAGTGAAACCGCGAAGAAACCAGGGCTCAAGGTCGGGCCACTTCTGACCCATCTGCAGATTCTAAATGGGCCCCAGTTCTCGGCAGTTTCCTTCAGCAACTCCCAGGCAGACACCTGCAGCCTAACACTGGGGGGAGGTGCGGGGCATGCTGGGGCTCGTACCCTGAAACCGCAGAGAGGACTGGGGGCCAAAATTCAGTACGGGATGAATAGTCGGATATTTTCAGGTATCAAATTTGTACAAAATACCAAGTATTAGGACGCCCCTGCTTTTGCACGCGCTCACGCTCACGCTCACTTTATTTTCGGGATTCTGAGGCTTTTGATCTATGATTTTTATTGGCTAAAAGGCCAGCGAGGAGGTTTGTGGCGGGGCTGAGCCGAGCATCTCATAAATCCGACTTCGCGGCGCCTCTTAATTCCTGTAAGACTCGGTTTTCCTCAGTGTAAGAAACTGAGCGGGGTAACAGGGATCCCCGCCATCCGCGGCCAGCGCGCGCCCCGGGTCCGCGTCGGCGGGGCGCCCCCAAGCAGCAGGCCGAGCTCCCCAGACCAGGGGGGGCGTGCGGCGCCCCGGGGAGACCCAGAGGCCTGGACGCGAGCCGCCCGGCGGGCACCCGGCCGAGGGGGGCGCCCGGGCCTGTCCCGCAGGGACCGCTCCCCGGGCCCTGGAGGGGCCCCCGCCGCTGGGCCCCCCGCCCCCCGCCCCTGACCCAGCCCTGCCCGGGCCTCCGGGAGGGTCCGGGACCCCGGCCGGGTGCGCCCCCGCGCCCTGCCCCGCCCCGCCCCGGGGGGCCCACGGGGAGGCGCCGAAGCAGGAAGAGAGGGGTCGGTGCGGGGCCTGAGCGGCGGGCGCCCCCGGCCCCGCCGCCCGGCCCGGCCCGGCCCGGCCGCGACCTCCGCCGCCAAACCCCACCTGACGCGGGACGGGACGCTCCGGACGCCAGCCCGCCGGAAACCGCCGCCCAGAAAGCCGGTTCCGCCAGCTGTGCACTGCGCAGGCGCACTCGCCCCGCGCGCCGGGGCTGGGGGGGGGGGCCGGTGAAGGCCGGGAGGCGGTGCGCAGGCGCAGCTGCACCTGCCGTTCGGGGAGGCGTGACGACGAGGGACGCGCCGCGCAGGCGCACTCGCACCCGCCGGCAGGGAGGGCGTGCGGCGCGCGGAGAAGTGCGCAGGCGCGGGGACGCGGCGCCGCCGGGAGCACCGCCCACCTGGGGAGCGGGACCCCCGCAGGGCCCCCCGGGTGCTGGCGTCGCGACAAAGAGTGACACATAATGCTGGGCCGCGCGCCGTGGGAGATTGGCCACGGCGACACAGCCCGGGGCAGGCTCGGAAGCCAGCTGTGCACTCCCGGGGTCTGCGCCGGGCCCAGGGCTCACCTGCGCGGGCACCTGCCGTGGCGGCGCGTGGGCACCTGCCGTGGCGGCTCGCGGGCACCTGCCGTGGCGGCGCGCGGGCACCTGCCGTGGCGGCTCGCGGGCACCTGCCGTGGCGGCGCGCGGGCGCCGGGCGAGGGGCGGACGGGCAGGGTCTGGCGTCCCGCCGTCCGAGGCCGCGGGCTCGGCCCCTTCCCCGACGGGAACGGAGAAGTGACGCGTGGGAGGCGGGAAGCCACGTTAGACGCCCTTTTAGTGAAGACGCCGCTGTCCTCAGGGGGAAGAAACGGTCCCGGCCGCCCCGAGGAAACGCTGCGTCCGCGAACCCGCCTCGGGGCCGCCCCGCACCCCGCGGCCCGCGGCCCAGGCGGGGCGTTTCCAGCCCGGCGACGCCTGTTAGTCGCCGGGACGCCCGCGCCCGCCGCCGCGCCCGCCGCCCCGCCCAGGTGCGGTCAGTTCCCTTCCGGGCCCCGACCCCGCCGTCCCCGGGGCACCTGCCCGCGCGCCCCGCTCGGCCCCCGCCGCGCCCCCGCCAGGGCGCGCCCGGCTCGCGGCTGGGAGAAGCCGCGGCCCCGGAGCCGCGCCGCGAGTGAGCGCAGCTCGGGCCGGCGGGCGGGCCGCACGGGGCAGGGCCGGGCGCGCAGGCGCGGGGTCCCGGCTGTCGGGGCGCGCGGCTCTCGCCGGGCCCCCGCGAGGAGGACGGGGCGCGGGGAGGGGCGGACACACGCCGGGGCGGCCGAGGCGCTGCCGCCGCCTCCTGAAGAAGCGGCCGCGTCCGGGGCCCCGGGAGGCGCGCGGCCCCGCGCCCCGACGTCGCGCCCCGGCGGCCCCGCACGCGCGGCGCCCGCGCCTCCTCTCCCCTCAGGCGCCGCCGGAGGCCCGGGGCCAGGCCTCACAGAGCCGGCATTCGCGGGGCGCCGTCCGGGCCGCCGGCGCCGGGCTGGGGAGGGGGAAGCGGGGCGGGGCCGGCCGCTCGGGCCCGCGTCTCCCGGGCCGGCCTTCCGCTCCCGCCGCGTGGGGCCGCGCGTGGGGGGCGCCGCGGCCGGGGGGGCGGGGCGAGGCGGGGCGGGGCGGGAGGCCGCGGGGCGGGGCGCGCGCCCGAGGTCTCTTGTCCCTGCCGGCCGCCGTGGCGAGGGCGCCGGCGGGGCTCGGCGCATGCGCGGGAGGCTCGGCCGTCCCCGGAGGCAGGCGGCGCGGGGATGCGCGGGCCGGCGGGGCCTGGGCCGGCGACCCCGAGCGCGGGCCGGGCGCGCGGGACCCGAGAGCGGCGCCGCGGCGGCTCCGGGCTGGACGGCGACGGCCCCTCCGCGCGCGGAGGACGATGAGGCGCGGCGGCGGCGCGGGGGATCGCTGCTGCGCGGCGCCGGCTTCCGTGTCCGCGGCCGAGTGCGCAGCCCGCGCGCGGGCCTGAGTGAGTGCCCGGGCCGGGCCGGGGGGCGGGGGGCAAGTGGGGCGCGGGCCCGAGTGAGTGCCCGGGCCGGGCCGGGGGGCAAGTGGGGCGCGGGCCCGAGTGAGTGCCCGGGCCGGGCCGGGGGCCGGGGGGCAAGTGGGGCGCGGGCCTGAGTGAGTGCCCGGGCCGGGCCGGGGGGGCCGGGGGGCGAGTGGGGCGCGGGCCTGAGTGAGTGCCCGGGCCGGGCCGGGGGGGCCGGGGGGCGAGTGGGGCGCGGGCCTGAGTGAGTGCCCGGGCCGGGGCCGGGGGGCCGGGGGGCGAGTGGGGTGCGGGCCTGAGTGAGTGCCTGGGCTGGGGGCCGGGAGGTCGGGGGTCAAGTGGGGCGCGGGGCTGAGTGAGTGCCCGGGCCGGGGGGCCAGGGGTGCAAGTGGGGCGCTGGCCTGATTGAGTGCGGCGGGGGGCGGGGGGGTCGCGGGGCAAGTGGGGCGCCAGCTCGAGTGAGTGTGGCCGGGGCAGTGGGGGGGCGGGGGGCCGCAGGGGCAAGTGGGGCGCGGGCCTGAGTGAGTGCGGGGCCGGGAGCAGCTGCAGGCGGGGGCGCTTGCGGGGACGTGGGGGGCAGTGGGTCTAGGTGAGTGCGCTGGGGACAGGGGCCTTGGGGAACTGGGGGTACGGGGGGGGCGGGGGTGGGGGGCACAGGGCAAGGCTTCCAGGGAGAGCTGGCGAAGGACCCTGGGCCTCCCGGGCTTCCCTTCCCGCCAGAGCCCCGAGCGCGCCCCTGGGGAGACGAGGCCCGAGGAGCCGGGCTGGGGCTCGGCAGGGCCTCGGGGCCAGGGCTGGGGCTCGGCAGGGCCTCGGGGCCATGGCCTGGCCTGGGACTCCTTCCAGGGGGAGCACAGACCCCTGCTTGGAAACCCCCCGCCCTCCTGCAACCCAGCGGCCATGGAGAGCGAAGGGGGAGACCCAGGCTGGGGGTGCGGTGGGGTCCTGCCCCTGGCTTGGCCCCGGCTGGCACCGACTATTGCCAGAGGCCTTTCAGGGCAGAAGGTGTGGGGAGTTGGGGAGACAGCACAGCCCCCACAATCCAAGTGGGCGTTGTGTGCATTTGGGGCGACATTTTTTTTTCCTGCGAAATGATCAGCCCACGGTATTCTGACCCCAGCCAGTCTTCTGGTCATCGGCTCTCAGGTGGCTCTCAGGTGTCTGTGGTGTAACCCTGCGGGGTAGAGAAACAGGATGTGGGGCTTTGAGTTTTGATGTCGGTGTTCCAGGCTCCTCCCCTGCCTTTTCCTGGCATGAGTGAATGCTTCCTTCCTGGTGGCTGGCATGAAGCTGACCCGCATGCCGGTTGAGGTTGCTCACCTGTCTTTTTACTGTAAAAGGTTAAATTCTATTACTCTGAATAAGAACTCGTGATTGTCCATACAGTGTTATGTCATAATTCTGCTCCCTGTGACTTAGATTGCTCAGTTCAGTCAATGTTTAAATAGAGATTTACTTCACTTTCTGCTCAAAGTACAGAGTTGAATAAGATGAAGCTCTCCAGGAGCCCACAGCCTCTAGCAGATGAGTTGCTTTCTGCAGCGCACGTGCCCCAGCATCTGTCTGCAAAGGAGGGAGTTGGGGAGGGTTGGCAGGCAGGAGCAGAGGCCCAGAAAGACCTCCCCCAGGAGCAGCTGCGGGGTGCCGAGGAGGCACAAGGCCCTGAAGTGCTCCTGTGGCCAGATACTGGGCAGGCCCCAGGAGTCTCTCCCATTACGTCATCAGGTCTGGTGGAACTAGTAGCTGCACTTGTTTTCACTCACTCCGATCTGCTAGATAGTACTTGACGCTCATCGTAGCGGCCACATCTGTGAACAGCCGCTGTATGACTTTTAATCTCCATGGTTTTCTGATGACGAGTTTCATCCCCCCTTTAAAAATGAGGAAATGTACATTTGCAGAGGCTAAGTGTGTTGGCAAAAGCTACGTAGCTATTAGACCAAGCCCCAACTCTCCACCACACCACACCGCCTCCCACTGAGAGTTCATTTGGAAGAGGGAAGCAGAGCCCTTGATAAATGATTGGCATAGGAGGCTGCCCAGGATCTGCGGTCTCAGGCCGCTGGCCTTCTGCAGGGGAGTGTCGCTAACCAGGTCACCCTGGGCTAGCAGCCTGACCCAGTGTGGGGACAAGAAGCTGTCTATGATCTTGGTCACCATTCTCTGGGGTGTCTGTTTCTCCATCTCCGTTGTCCTGAGGAGACTCTGAAACCTTGCTGCTGATCAGGAAAGCCTGAGGCCCACATTGTGCCCATCTCCGAACAAACCTAAAAGAGGTTCTGATTTTTCTAATCCGGGTTCTTCCCCCCAAGTGAAAGACCTCGTTTTGCACTGCTCCCTGCTCGCCTCCGGCAGCGCCTTCTGCTGAACTGCCGGGGGGCGTGATTCCAGCACAGGGACCGTGGGCTTCGCGAGTGCCTGAACATCTTACTTCTGTGACTTTGATTTTATAACACAATTAATTCTGCATTTCCTCCATCTGGTTTATAGTGACATTCTAGAACATGTTGGAGATGTCCCGAATCTCATGCTTGGTCTCCATTCTGCCGTCACTACCTTTTTAGCCTTCTGCATCTTTTTTTTTTACCATTTTCTTTCTTGAAGATATTTTTGATCTCAGAACAATTGTGAGCGACCTTTGTAGTGACGATCTGTCACCTTGTCATGCCAGAGTCGACTGTATTCGCTTAGTCTTTTCACACATCAGGCAAAGGGGAAGGCATGAAAACACCCCTGTGTGGCTGCCTGTGTGCCTGTGATGCCCGCTCAAGCAGATTGAAATCCGGGTGTAAAGTGCTCTCCGAACTATTCAATTACTGGCAGCATCTCCATAGGCAGTTACTGTTCATTGGCCCCACAGGACTATTAACACACTCGTCTCCATTATTGAGGCGTGCGAGTGACCATCAGGGAGATGGATCCTGCACTACGTGCTCCCCACAACTGCTCGAAGCTGTTTGCTTCTCTTTCAGCTGTGCGGCTGGCATGGCTCTGCGGCTCCCCAGTGCTTGGCAAAGGAGGGGTGGTGGTGCAGGAGGGCTGAGTTCGGTGTTGCTGGAGATGTGCTCGGAGCTGGGAGTGTCCCCAGGACCTTGCATGAGCACCGAGGACACCGTCTTCGGTGATGTCAGCAGGACGGTGCCTACGCTCTGTGCTTCCTGCTGTCTGCACTCGAACTCGCACGCGTCATGTGTACATGGGTTTTGTCACACACGAGCACTTTTCACCGGTAGACAAGTTGTTCCTAAATTTGCTTATCTAGGGTTGACTGCAGACCTCTACAAACAGTAGTGCGCTTATGTCATTGGTTCACCGTGAACCTTACAGGTTTTGGGAAATTCGTATTTGATTCAGGGCTCGGTAAGACAGCTTTTGTAACTTTACTATTGTCAGAAAAGTAGACACTGTGCAACACAATGTAAATTTCATGTAAAAAATTTAAAATAATTAGTATTTAAGTTTTTGTGGGACAATTCTGACCTTCATTAAAATATAATTTTAACTGTGATTGAAAAAATAACACACTTGGCTGTCTCTCTCGGCTGGTTCCTGGGGCAGTAATGATTAACCTGTATCCATTCCCGTCGTTTGAGTTTTACTCGTTGGCGTATTTGTTGTTCTTCATTTTCATTTTTTGGTTAAAATAATTGCTGGGTAAAGAACTGAGCCCAGTGGATTACGAGCTTTAGGAGAGTAGTGGGATTCTTCGGCAGGGAGGAAATTGAGATCGTTAATCTGCATCTGGAATTAAACTTCCATGTAGTTCACACTGCTTCTTGCTGGAAAGAATAATCTGTGCTTTGCTAACAAAGCAAAGAAAAACACGCAGGGCTCCTGGAAACTAATGGCAGCTCCGTGTGGTCGTCTTTCTCTGCTTTTCCCTCCCCCTGCCTTACCTGCACCTTCCTGAAGCGCGGCCTGCTCCTGTGAGGAGTGTGCAGCCCGTCATTTTCAGCAGCTTTGCTCTGCGCCTTAACAGATTACTTTGACCACAGTGATCTGGGAGGAGACTAAAAATGTCTGATGAATAAACCGTAAACCTCGCCCGAGATACCAAGTCTCTGTATCTGCAGAGCTGCGAATTCTAGACACCTGTTGTTCATCCAGGCCCCGCCTTCTGTACTGCTGAGTAGAGGACATGTTACTCCTATTCCAATGTCTTTTTTCCTCCTCTATCTTAATTTTTCTCTATCACCTGTAAAATAGAACTTGTGAGCCCTTCGGGATCATTCAGATAACTGCTTCCTTTTAGAAATGTAGAGACTCAACACCAAAGTGAAGAAGTGATAGGCAAGGGACACCCATTCAAAGGGGCATTTGGAGTCTCATCTGCGAAGGTGCAAAGCTGCACCCACTGGGTAAAAGCCTCTTTCCGGAGCTGTGGGCCAACCCTCCATCCGTGGGCGCTGCAGAGCCCCGCCCGCCCGCAGCGCTGCCTCTGATCAGGGCGCTGTCTGCGTCCCAGGTTTATGATCCCAGGCCTGGAGAATGTTCGGGGTTTTCATTAAAGAGATTTGTCAGCCAGAAATTAGCGAGCTTCAGTGACCCGTATACAGTACGCTGCACCAAAGAGTTAAGTTAATGTAGTACATCATTTTTCATTTGAGGGAGGCAAGTCTGGGGGTGAAGAAAGCAGGAAGTCTGGGGAGTTAGGCAGTGCACCCCCGTAGTTCTCAGACTGTTTAGTCTCAGCACCCACGTCTATGTTACCAAACAACTCAGGACCCTGAAGATTTTACGTATGTGGACTCTACAGAGAAGAACTGGTGGTGTGAGAAGTTAAAACTGGGAGTTTAAAAATAAGTGATTTTATTTAATCATGACAGAATTTCATTGTAAACCCTTTTCTGCAAAACTGCAAAATTTGGAATATACCGTTTATGTTTTTATAGATATCCCTGAGTCTGCACAGTGGAGTCAGGCGGTCATCGTGTTTCTGCATTTTTTTTCCTCTTACAATGGGTTTTAGGAGAAAATGAGAC